AGCTGGCTCGGAGCTCGTCTGCCTGGCTGTGTGTTTCCTGCATAGGAATGAATTGAATTGGAAATTAAATCATCCCCATTGGCTCTCAGTGAGCGTTAAACGCCACCACTTCGTCCCACACCATTTTCTATTGGATCGGTCGAAAAATCTGATTCTACGTGTTCAGCGCTTAAATCTAGTTAGTTCTCCACAGAAGAGACTTTGCGCTATTGGCTAAATCAAGACAATATAAACAACATTACCTTAATAAAGCTAACCCAACTCTTGTGGCAGTATAGAAAATATCCGCCCAGAGAGGCTGGCAGCTGGCTCCGGTCAATGTAGTTCCATAGCTCTGGGATGTCTTTCAGAAGCACATTCTGACGAGGAGATCAACGTTAGCATCAGATAAAACCAAAGGTTCACCATGCAGCGTCTCCTGTACTTACACTGGAAGAGGTTGAGCAGGACTTGGATGGAACCAGAAGTTTCATCAGCAGCTTTGCCACATCCTTCCTTTTGGGCTGAATGATGTAAACACTGTGGACTGTTCGCTTGTGCTCCTAAAAAACAAAGCAAGTTTAATAAATCAGCATCCATCATCACTGAAAAATAGAACAGAAATGAACTCCCTGGAGCCCTGGATCACCCCTAACAGCTGCTTAACAGGAATAAAGGAGCTTCCAAGGAGCACTAAAGCATTATGATTAAACACAAAGTAGAGGAAAAACCCTCACAGGATTCATCCAGGAGGATGAGACTGATGAAAGTCTAGACCAGTGGTTCTTAACCTGCGTTCGATCGAACCCTAGGTGTTCAATGAGTCTGTGTCAGGGGTTCGGCGACGGAGGAGAAAACACTTGTGTAAAGTCCTTGATGACACGCCCCGCTTTCCCCCGCCACTTGCTGCAGAGGAAGACATAACATTGCTTGGCCAATCAGTACTAGGGGGAATTTAGCACGCGCAATAGTCAACGGCTGGTGCAATTGTAACATTTAGTGGTTTATTTCTTAATATTTTAATCCATAATTAATATGCCGAGCAAAAAAAGAAAGTGGTTGGACGAATATGTGCAACATGGATTGACGTGTATCACAGAACGGGAGTCAGCGTCCTATCTGCATGATATGCAATGTCTAGTTGGGCAACTCTAGTATCGCACCGGCAAAACTAAATGAACACTTCTTGAAGCTCCATGGAGATGGAGAGAAACGAGCCAGATTCCATGAAAGACCCAATTAGTTAAAAAAAAATATATATATATATATTTTTGGGGGGCTGAAATTCTTTTATTGGGCAAAAATATTTTTAGGGGGCCAGAAGAAAATAATATTGTAATTAGTTGTGAGTTGATACACTGTGTTGGTTTTGTTCTTTGAGCCAGGTGATGTTAATATACAGCCCAGTAAAAAAAAAAAAAAAAAAAAAACCCATGTCTTGAATTTGGGAAAAAAAAAAAATATTTTCTTTATCACTAAAGAAGGGTTGAGTGAATGCACTTACAAAACTGGTGGGTTCCGTACCTCAAAAAAGGTAAAGAACCACTGATCTAAACAGATCTAATAAACTAAACAGTTCAGGATTCATCTCTCCTCCACCATAAGAGCTGGAAAGCATCGCCTTTGGCTCACACTCTAGCGAGGGGAGGGACCACCCCCTCATAGCACAACAGGAGACAAGATCCATTTTGATTACTTCTGTTGCTGCTTAAGAGCATAAAGTTGGGAGCTGGCTCAGAGCTCGTCTGCCTGGCTGAGTTTCCTGGACGGGGCCGCCTGTGGAGCTGGTTGACAGTTGCCTTTTGTATCTATGCTTCTTTTTCTATGTTTGCTTCTGTCTCCTTGAACCCCAGTGGGCCTCAGCAGATGGCCGCTCACACTGAGCCTGGTTCTGCTGGAGGTTTCTTCCTGTTAAAAGGGAGTTTTTCCTCTCCACTGTCACTACAAGCATGCTTAGTGTGAGGGATTGCTGAAGAGTAAATAAGTCGATGCAATCAGCTGGTTTTCCTAAGATAGAAAACTTTGAATCAATCTGACTGGATGATCTGGTGAACTGGAAAGTGCCTTGAGAGGACGTGATGTGAATTGGTGCTATAGAAATAAACTGAATTTAATTTTTTGTAGGTCTTAAGTTTTATTTTTTTGTGTGGCATCTACTGGTTTCTGGATCCAATGATGAGAAGGTGAGATACTTTCAGCCAGAAGCTTCACATTTAATCAGAGTAATTCCACCAAGTCACTTTGATTAGATAATCAAACATGTGACTAGTGCTCACGATATGGACTATTTTATATCACAATAACGATATATATCACAATATGCTCCAATTAAGTACATTTTCAGCAAATCTCTGAAAAATATGACAAAACTATAATTGCAAAAATATAATTAATTACTTTTTCTATTTTATATTGAAGTTTTTGAATTAGACAAATAAATTGTAGTGCAGCAATATATATGCATGAGATGAGGTAGGGCTACAGTATCCTTCACATTTTTTTTTTTTTAAATCCTACAGGTATTTTAATTAAATTACTGTGATTCTTCTTTAGGTGATAGTAGAGGTTTGTCATATTGCCGTCGGGTAAGGGAACAGTTTGCAAATGAACATTGTCTACTCCCTGTTGGACTTCTTAAATCCAAAATGTAACCAAATCACAGACGTGCGCCCTCTTTTTGGTAAAATTTCTTCATCTTGGGTTGCCTCCGTAGCCGTCTCTGTTTGTTGCGACCACGGGTTTAATACTTCAGCCTCCTGCATCTCCATCTCTCATGAGTTAAGTAACGTAAAGCGTGTTGCAAACCCGCGTGTGAGTCAAAAGCAGCAAAGAAGCGTCATGTTGCAAAACCACAGGATGGCGCTTCTTTGTGGATAAAGAAAAAATAATAATTTGCTTGAATACGAGGTACAATTGTGTTAGAAACGATAGAAAGGATAGAATAGAATTAGCATGATAGACACTTTTCTATCATCCGTACGATATGTATCGTCTTATCGCCCAGCCCTACATGTGACCCCCCCCCCACCCCAATAGGATGGATGCACTTCAGATTCACACAGACAAATCAGCAACAGGCTCAGATATATCCCTGCTATGGCCTCATTTTGCTCTAGTCTCCATCTATTCATCTTCACATTCAATCCTTTGAATTAAACCAATTCTTTTTAAATAAACATCCTGGTCAATAGAATGTTTGTATTCAAACATTCTTTTAAACATAACTGCTGGTTTGGGGGGAAAAAAAGTTCAGATATAGAGGCTAAAATGCCTGAAGACAGCACATGATGAAATCATGTGAACAGAGCAGGTCCTAAAGTCATTCCTCTGACTCCTGGTGAGCCTGAAAACTCCAAATCATTCTCCATCTGTATGCCAGCACCATTAACACCATCCAGCTAGTTCAGGGGCCTCTGGTGGAGCGACGGACTAAAGCGTTTATCCAGGGACCTGAGGCTAGGTTAGCCTGCGGACATCAGCCTGTTATCCACTATGCACTGGGGGCACAGGTCGCTGATCTAATGAAGCAGACATAGAAAACAAACCAGCAAGATTTAAGCCTGTGGGAAAGTGGGAGGAGTCTGGCTCCACCATCCCACCACAATGACACGCATTCATAAACTGCATGAGATTCCAATCTGCAGCACATCGTTACATAAAGTGGGGATGAAAATGATTATAGCCCACCGCTGGCTGTCAGAGGCTACGATAAGATCACATGATGCATCATTGAACTGGGGTCAGAATAGAATGAAAAAATGTCCACTTATTTTCAACAGGGATAAACCTGAACTTCCACAGAAGCACAATTAAAGTTTAAATCAAGCACAGTCTGCATAAAACACATGGAAGGTCCCCTTTAAAGAAGATGCATGCTAGTGGGAGCAGCTCTGCAGAATATCCTCAGAATGTGGATGTTGGACAGCATCTCTGCACCATATAATAAACCACATGCAATCTCAGCTATGTAAAGTATGGCCATCATGCGAGCATTGCTTCAAATATTTTTGGCTAAATCAGATTTTAAAAACTTTTGTGGGGTTTTTAATGAAAAGCATTTTAATTTCCCTTAAGCCACATGCAGGCAAACTGCATCAGCATACGGCCTCACTAGGGAGCTAACGGCAGCCATGCTTCCTCTGGCTATTACATGGAAGGATGTGCAGCCCTGCAAAGAAACGCCACCGTACATCATTACTGACCCACCGCCAAACCACTGCTCCGTCAGACCAGCATACCCCGTCAGACCAGCATACCCACAGTCAATTCCTTTTATCCCTTTAGTTTTGAGGAAAAATAAACTAAACTACCTCATGGGGTGTGTATCCCTTTAGCCATGGACAAAAAAACAATAGGTTTTTGTCGTTTTTTGAAGAGTATGGCGATCTTATGTGGATTTAACATTAGGCAACACTAGGCAGTCGACTAGGGACCCAAGTTCCTGGGAGATCCCTTAAAACTCTGTTTACATGTATGGTTAATACAACTATTAATTATGTTTTTAATAAAAATCATTTTGCTAAAATGTCATCAGAACATTTATATTATTAA